AGAGAAACTCAAATACTTCTAAAAAAAGAGGAAATCTTGTTCCTTACATTTTAAGTGTGCAAGCTATTTAAAGAAAAATACGACTAAAGCTACAAAAGCAAAGAGGTTTCCTGAATTTCTCCGATGCCTTAATCAAAACTTTCAAAAGAAATTTAACTGCTCCTACATCTAAAGAAAAGTTCAGTTAACAAAATTCAATCCCTCACCAAAGAGAACACTTTTATTTTTATTTTTTTACATTACATTTTTTAATTTAAATTCAATTTGCCAACAAGGATAACACTTTTAAAACTTAAAGAGAAATGTATCTAAATGTTGTATAAGGAAGTATTATTGATTTTATATATATATATTTTAAATTTTATTTATTTTAATTTTATTTATTCATTCATGAGAGACACACACATAGAGAGAAGCAGAGACACAGGCAGAGGGAGAAGCAGGCTCCATGTAGGGAGCTTGATGTGGGACTCGATCCTGGATCCCAGGATCATGCCCTGAGCCGAAGGCAGATGCTCAACCACTGAGCTACCCAAGCGTTCCTGATTTTATATTTAATACAAGAAGAAAAAGCTGTTTAATTTCTAAATAAGAAAGACATTCAATTGCCACAAACTGGCTCCATACCCCAAAAAAAGAGGGAAAGAAGGAACGGAGGCAGGGAGGAGAGAGAAAAGAAAGAAAGGAAAGAAAAAGACTGGCTGTTCCAGTCTTCATACTGCTTCATGTCACCCCAAACTGTCTCTAGACCTTTAATACTTCTATAAGAAAAAATTCAGGGTTTCATGGATGGCTGTTATTTAAGTGTCTGACTTTGATCAGGTCATGATCTCAGGATCTAGGGAATGAGCTCTGCCTGGAGCCCTGCCTGGACCCCTGCCTAGGGCTCCACACTCTGCAGGGAGTTTGCTTATTCCTCCCTCCATGCATCCTCTCTAACTAACTAACTAACTAACTAACTAACTAACTAACTAACATCTGAGTGGGGTGCCTGGGTGGCAGAGTCAATTAAGCATCCAACTCCTGGTTTCCGCTCAGGTTGTGATCTGAGTTGTGATATCGGGCACTCAGCGGTTTACTGGCACCTTCAGCCCAGGGTCTGATCCTGGAGACCTGGATTCAAGTCCCATGTCGGGCTCCCTGCATGGAGCCTGCTTCTCCCTCTGCCTGTGTCTCTGCCTCTCTCTCTCTCTGTCTCTCATAAATAAACAAATAAATAAATAAAATCTTAAAAAAAACAAACTACCAGAAGGGACAATTTCAGGTAGTATTAACCACAAAAAAAAAAAAAAAAAGCTTTATTTTTATTTTTTTTTTTTTTTTTTGAGAGAGAGAGCGAGTGTGCGCAGAGTGGTGGGGTGGCAGAGAGAGAGGGAAAGAGACTCCCAAGCAGGCTCCATGCCTAGCACAGAGCCAGACATGGGGCTGATCCCAGGACCCTGACATTATTACCCGAGCCATAATCAGTTGGGCAATTAAACAACTGAGCCACCCAGGTGCCTGCCCAAATTATTCTTAAACTCTAGAATACATACATATAAAGTTATATATAAAAAGTCTCCTTCCTACTCCGAACTCCCCTCTATCCCTCAAAGATAACTATTCTATTTCTTACAAATCCTTCAGTGCTTGTCTTTATGCAAATGTAAGCAAATAACATTATTTATATTTTTTATGCAAAAGGCAGGAAACTAATACATAATGTTCTCCATCTTGCTTTTTTTTTTTTTAAACTAAATACTATGTTCATGCAAGTGTATCAATAGGATGAACTTCCAGCAGTGGAATTGTTGAGCTAACAGTATATATTTTTGCACTATTGACTAATATTTCTCATTTATGAGAGTTGTATCAATTTACATCTCACCAGCTATGTGTTCCCCACAGCCTTACTGTTACCAAACTTTCTGATTTTTAACAATCTGAACGGTGGAAAATGATATTTGAGAGGATTTTTTTTTGGAGATGAGAAAAAAAATTTTTGTAGTTAATATTACCTGTAGTTGTCCCTTCTGCCCCTCCCTGTTCAGGGAGATGAGTCGAGCATATTAGCACGCTGTAGAAAGCAAGCTTGAATATGCAGGAGAGATAGAGAGGACGACATTGCAGGCAGAGTCCTTTACCAGGCTGGAGGAGCAGGATCCAGTGCATCAGTGATTCTTAATTGATACAGATGCAGGAGTTGGTATATTTTGAGGGACACAAGTGCAAGTCTCTTTTGATTGCTTTTGCTTGTTTTGCTTTGTTTGTTTGTTTTGAGGAGTCTTCAGCTCCCAAACTGCTTCTATTTTTCAGGCAAAATAAGAACCAAGGTCAAAACTGAGCCAAGGAGAGGGGAGAGCATTGAAGATTTGAGAAAAGAGATGTGAATTGTTCCTCTTAGCAAATGAAGGTAACCTGCTCAGGGAAACAAGGATCTTTGAGCAGCACTGAGGATTACAGCCTTCGATTTAAAGTGAAAAATTTAAAAAGTAAATAAATAAATTGTATTTATTTATTTATTGGAGAGAGAGAAAGTGAGAGTGAGAGAGCAGAAGCAGGGAGAGCTGCAGAGGGAGAAGCATGCTCCCTGCTGAGCAGGGAGCTCAACAAGAGGCTGGATCCCAGGACTCCCAGATCATGACCTGAGCGAGCAGATGCTTTACTGAGCCACCCAGGTGCCCCTAAAGTGAATTTTGAAGGACAAAGTACCACCAGGGATGAAGAAGATCCCTGCTTCAGGGAGATGTCAGAAAAACAAAATTAAAAGCAAAGCATTCATTTTACAGATATTTACGGAGACTCATGCAGAGACTCTATTGCTGGGTGCTAGCTTGTCATTTAAAGCAGATCACAGGGGATCCCTGGGTGGCGCAGCGGTTTGGCGCCTGGCTTTGGCCCAGGGCGATATCCTGGAGACCCGGGATTGAATCCCACGTGGGGCTACCGGTGCATGGAGCCTGCTTCTCCCTCTGCCTATGTCTCTGCCTCTCTCTCTCTCTGTGATGACTATCATAAATAAATAAAATTTTGAAAAAAAAATAAAGCAGATCACAGGCATCCATCCGCCAGTTGGCTGGCTTTTCAGAAATCTGATTAAGGTACGACTATTCACTCTGCAAACAAAAATGCATACAGTCACCATAGGATCTCCATGGATGAACTGTTCTTAAATTTGGGGAAGGGAGCTCTCACTCTTGATAGCCTGAACAAACAGCTTCTTAGGAAAATGGGCACATATATCAACTTGCAGACAATTTTAGGTGGTTGAAGAACCACAAGCTGAGACTCTCTCCTTTAAATTGGGAGCCCCATTTTGGAGGGTATTCTTTTAGGATATTTTTAATGATTCAATTTGGACAAAGCTTTCTATGAATCACTTTATGTCTGTATTTGACACCTTAATAAGGACTCAGAATCTGAAATCATTTTTTTTATTGGAGTTCAATTTGCCAACATATAGCATAACACCCAGTGCCCGTCACCCAGTCACCCCCACCCCCCGCCCTCCTCCCCTTCCACCACCCCTTGTTTGTTTCCCAGAGTTAGGAGTCTCTCATGTTCTGTCTCCCTTTCTGATATTTGCCACTTATTTTTTTCTCCTTTCCCCTTTATTCCCTTTCACTATTTTTTATATTCCCCAAATGAATGAGACCATATGTTTGTCCTTCTCTGATTGACTTACTTCACTCAGCATAATACCCTCCAGTTCCATCCACGTCGAAGCAAATGGTGAGTATTTGTCGTTTCTAATGGCTGAGTAATATTCCATTGTATACATAAACCACATCTTCTTTATCCATTCATCTTTTGATGGACACCGAGGCTCCTTCCACAGTTTGGCTATTGTGGACATGGCTGCTAGAAACATTGGGGTGCAGGTGTCCCGGCGTTTCATTGCATCTGAATCTTTGGGGTAAATCCCCAGCAGTGCAATTGCTGGGTCGTAGGGCAGGTCTATTTTTAACTCTTTGAGGAACCTCCACACAGTTTTCCAGAGTGGCTGCACCAGTTCACATTCCCACCAACAGTGCAAGAGGGTTCCCTTTTCTCCGCATCCTCTCCAACATTTGTGATTTCCTGCCTTGTTAATTTTCCCCATTCTCACTGGTGTGAGGTGGGATCTCATTGTGGTTTTGATTTGTATTTCCCTGATGGCAAGTGATGCAGAGCATTTTCTCATGTGCATGTTGGCCATATCCATGTCTTCCTCTGTGAGATTTCTGTTCATGTCTTTTGCCCATTTCATGATTGGATTGTTTGTTTCTTTGCTGTTGAGTTTAATAAGTTCTTTATAGATCTTGGAAACTAGCCCTTTATCTGATACGTCATTTGCAAATATCTTCTCCCATTCTGTAGGTTGTCTTTGAGTTTTGTTGACTGTTTCTTTTGCTGTGCAAAAGCTTCTTATCTTGATGAAGTCCCAATAGAAACCATTTTTTTTTTTAAAGTTGCAAAGTTGGAGATCCCTGGATGGCTCAGTGGTTTAGCGCCTGCCTTCGGTCCAGGGCGTGATCCTGGAGACCCGGGATTGAGTCCCACGTCGGGCTCCCGTGCATGGAGCCTGCTTCTTCCTCTGCCTGTGTCTCTGCCTCTCTCTGTGTATCTCTCATGAATAAATAAATAAAATCTAAAAAAAAAAGTTGCAAAAGTAGCTTAGAGTTCCCCTACATTCTTCACCCCGAATTGCCAAGTTAACATCTTACATATAACCATAGTGCAATTATCAGAACTGCTGATACACAAGTATTGTTAATGGACTTCATTTTGTCAGTTGTCCCGTCCATATCTTTTTCTGTTTCAGGATCCAATTAAGAAATTCACAATGTTGTCATGAACGTGACTTTTTTTCTTTTTCTTTTTTTTTTTAATGCAAGGTCTGTGTGTTTGGGGGCAAAATATTTAACGTCTCTGAGTCTATCCTAAGAGCCCCGATGTGATTCAGAACGAATAAAAAACACATGTGGAATGGTTTCAGAAACTTCAAAGATCACTAAACAAACTTTTCTTAGTATTGACAACTAAACACGTACGGTGTAGCTTTTCGTTTAAATGGAAACAAAGCCGACTGAAGCGTACTACTGTCCTGGAGGTGATTTGTCCCAAAGTAGGACCCGTAGCGTCTCCCTCAGCCGCCGGAAGAGGCTTGCCCTAATTGGGCAGCGTGCGTCCGCCCGGCCGCAGGAAGGCAGCCTCATTGGTCCGCACAGTCGGGACCCCGGCGGCTTTTCTTAGTGCTCAAGGCGCCGATACACTTCTCTTCGTCCAACGGAGTGCTCCCTTCCTTCCGAAGTCCCTGGAGCAGCCAGCCCGAAGGGATCCGGACTGCGCTAGGCCGCGTAACTGCCCTGAGGTCAGTCGGGAAGAAGCGGCGGGCATGGGCTACGGGTGGAGGTGGTGGAACACGGGTGGGAGGTGATGTCTGTGCGCCCCCTTGACCCCCACGGCGGCCGCGATCACCCCGCCCCGTTTCCTCCGCTGGCCCCGCCTCCATCAGGTTCCCCCCAAGGTTCGGCGCGCCCCTCCGCCGCCCTTCCGCCGGCCCCGCCCTCTCCGCCCCTCCACGACCCCGCCTCCTCCGTGAGCCCTTCCGCTTCTCCTGCCCCTCCGACTCCTCCCCTTGGAGGCCCCGCCCTCTCCGCCCCCCACGACCCCGCCTCCTCCGTGAGCCCTTCCGCTTCTCCTGCCCCTCCGACTCCTCCCCTTGGGGCCCCGCCCTCTCCGCCCCTCCACGACCCCGCCTCCTTCGTGAGCCCTTCCGCTTCTCCTGCCTCTCCGACTCCTCCCCTTGGAGGCCCCGCCCTCTCCGCCCCCACGACCCCGCCTCCTCGTGAGCCTTCCGCTTCTCCTGCCCCTCCGACTCCTCCCTTGGGGCCCCGCCCCCTCCGCCCCTCCACGACCCCGCCTCCTTCGTGAGCCCTTCCGCTTCTCCTGCCCCTCCGACTCCTCCCCTTGGAGGCCCCGCCCCCTCCGCCCCTCCACGACCCCGCCTCCTTCGTGAGCCCTTCCGCTTCTCCTGCCTCTCCGACTCCTCCCCTTGGAGGCCCCGCCCTCTCCGCCGGCCCCGCCCTCTCCGCCCCTCCACGACCCCGCCTCCTTCGTGAGCCCTTCCGCTTCTCCTGCCCCTCCGACTCCTCCCCTCGGAGGCCCCGCCCTCTCCGCCGGCCCCGCCCTCTCCGCCCCTTCACGACCCCGCCTCCTTCGTGAGCCCTTCCGCTTCTCCTGCCCCTCCGACTCCTCCCCTCGGAGGCCCCGCCCCCTCCGCCGCCCCGCCCTCTCCGCCCCTCCACGACCCCGCCTCCTTCGTGAGCCCTTCCGCTTCTCCTGCCCCTCCGACTCCTCCCCTTGGAGGCCCCGCCCCCTCCGCCCCCCCGCCCTCTCCGCCCCCCCCCCCGCCTCCTCCCCGGGGCTCTCCACTGGTCCGCCCTAGCCGCTTCCTCCTCAGAGGCCCCGCCCTCATCGAGCACGCCCCTGCGTCTGCCTGCCTGACCTGCACCGTCTGGGCCCCTTCATGCCTCTTTAAGTTTGGTTCTGGCCTCCCGCGGCCCCCCACAACTCCCCTGTACCTGCATGTTCTTTCCATCAACCCTGCTTCTTACCTGACCAATAGAGTGTCGCATTCCCGCACCGACCCAGGCTATCTCCCCGCATGTGCTTAGTGAATAGTGCGGAGGCCGGATGGGTGGTGGACCTCGGAGGTCCCTGCTTTCGAGAGGCCCTCGCCCCGGGAGAGAGCCACGTAGTAAGGAGTTTAGCAGGCCTGGTGATAAGTGTTTAATGAAGGAAGCATAGTATTGCGATGCTAAGAGGCGGGACTAGAGTTGTCACCCCCCTTGCTGGAAGGGCAAGCTGGCCTTTTTCCCCAAGTGCCGTTGGCTTCCGCTGATGTGGAATCTTGGCCCCAACCATCGTCCCTTAAATTCTTGGGAATTAGTAAAATCTTGTCATGGGCCCTTTTAACCAAAGTTGGTAGGACTCCCACAGCTCATGGGTCCACCACAGTATGCTCTGCAGGAAGTTGGAGGCAAGAGACAGGTGAGTGATTGACTTAGTGATTCAGCATCATATTCTTGATGCTGCTTTTTGGACTTTTTCCTGAAGATAATACCCAATTTTTAATTATCCCGCAGTCTTAGTTGATAGGAATACCTAAAAGTATGTGTAGGTAAAACCTCCAGTCAGTAAGCAGATTCCTCCAAGCCAGCACACTAGGACAGGGGAGACGGTGACTCACACCTCCAATCTCTTAGAGTCAGGTACTCTGGGGTCTGATCCCAGTTCCACCATTTGCTGTAAAGCTTGGCAAAAAAACTTCCCTTATCTGAGCTTCAGTTTTACCTTCTACAAAAAGAGCATGATTAACCCTGCCACTCAGGTTACGATACGGATTTGCTGAGATCCTGCTTATGAAAAAAAAATCACTTTTAGGGTCTTGTAAATAGTGGAAGCTCAGCATAAGTGAGCTCTCAATCTTCCAATTCATATCTGTCTGATTCACACCAACAAAGAGCCTGATGATATGTTGCCTCTCTCAGGCACCATGACGACCCTGGATGATAAGTTGCTGGGGGAGAAGCTGCAATACTATTACAGCAGCAGTGAGGATGAGGACAGCGACCATGAAGACAAGGATGGGGGCAGGGGTGCGCTGGCTGGCACTTCGATGCAGGCAGATGCTGAGTTGGCAGGCGAAGGCATCTCAGTCAACACAGGTACTGGAAACCCCTGGGCTCTGGGATCAGGTTTAACAGATGTACATGAAATATGTATCAGAAGTCTCCTGATCACTTCTCTTTAATTCCACTCTCACTTCCAGAGTTAGCCTCGTGTCATCATTTTCCTGTCTGTGCATCAGCCATTTCAGTGCACAGCGCAGATGTGTATACACAGCATACGCAGACTATGAACACGCACATAGTGCACACAGACAGAATTGCTTTGGAATTAGCTTCTCAAATTAATGTTGTTTGATATCACATAAGTCATAGGTATGCATATATTGATAGTATAAACTCCTTGAAATGGCATATTTATGCTTTTACATTTTAATATTTCCAAATTGTGGCAATTGAGGTGGCACTGTTTTATATGTAGCCCACAGTATGGTTTTCCCCATACACTTGCCCTCCTAACTGTGTTCTCAGAATTTGTGATCTCTGCTGTCCTGAGGGATGACAAAAGGTAACTGATTGTAGTTTTAGTTTCTGTCTTTTCAAGAGGGATGTTGAGCCTCTCTAAGAGAGATTTTCATACCCTTTCTTCATTTTTAAAATTTGGTGGCCTTTTTTTTTTTAAGGGACCTTTATAAATAAGGAGATGCATCTGTTTTTACCAATTATGTTGTCTTTTGATTTTATCTTCTTTTCCTGGCAGAAGATTTTTATTTTATGTGCCTGAAAGCATTATTTTATAGTTTCTTGTTTTTGTTTCTTACTGAAAAGGTCATTCTTCACTCTAGGATTATAAAAAGATTCTCCCATGCTTTTTCTTAGTATGTTTATGATTTCTTTTTCTTTTTCTTTTTTTTATACATTTAAATATTGATTCATCTGGAATTCATTTTGGTGCAAGGTATGTGGTAGGGCTTCACATTTTTTTTTTTTTAAACCCAGAGGCTGGGATCCCTGGGTGGCGCAGCGGTTTGGCGCCTGCCTTTGGCCCAGGGCGTGATCCTGGAGACCCGGGATCGAATCCCACATCAGGTTCCCGGTGCATGGAGCCTGCTTCTCCCTCTGCCTGTGTCTCTGCCTCTCTCTCTCTCTCTCTCTCTCTCTCTCTCTCTCTCTGTGACTATCATAAATAAATTAAAAAAAAATAAATTAAAAAAAAATAAAAAATAAACCCAGAGGCTTCGGGATCCCTGGGTGGCTCAGGGTTTGGCACCTGCCTTTGGCCATGGGCGCAATCCTGGAGTCCCGGGATCGAGTCCCGCATTGGGCTCCCGGCACGGAGCCTGCTTCTCCCTCCTCCTGTGTCTCTGCCTCTCTCTCTCTATATATATATCTATCATGAATAAATAAATAAATAAATCTTTAAAAAAAATAAAAATAAACCCAGAGGCTTCAAAGTGTAAATGTTTTGTTTTGTTTTTTTAATATTTTATTTATTTATTTATTCATGAGAGACACACACAGAGAGGCAGAGACATAAGCAGAGGGAGAAGCAGGCTCCATGCAGGAAGCCTGATATGGGACTCGATCCCACATCTCAAGTGGGACTCCAGGATCATGCCCTGAGCCAAAGGCAGATGTTCAACAGTTGAGTCACCCAGGCGTCCCCCTAGAGCTTCACTTTTGTCTTCTCCATATTGCCACCCAGTGGTTTCAACACCATTTAGTAAACTATCTTTTTTCTGTTGCTTTGAAATATCAGTTTTATCATGTACTGAATTGCTGTCTATGTTTGTGTTTTTAGGTGCACTTTGTAGTCTCTTGCATTGATTTGTCTTTTACAGTGCTATATCACACTGTTTTTATTTTTTATTTTTTAAATTTTTTTATTTTTAAAAGATTTTTTAATTTATTTATTCATGAGAAACACAGAGAGAGAGAGAAAGGCAGAGACACAGGCAGAGGGAGAAGCAGGCTCCATGCAAGGAGCCTGACGTGGGACTCGATCCCAGGTCTCCAGGATCACACCCTGGGCTGCAGGCGGTGCTAAACCTCTGCGCCACCGGGGCTGCCCTATCACACTGTTTTTAATTATTGTGTTACAGGTTTCAGTATCTGATGGGGCTGGATCCCCCCTCAGTATTCTTCTATGATGTCATTTTCCCAACTTTTTTTAATAGGCTCTACGCCTAGCATGGGGGCTAGAACTCAACAACCCTAATATCAAGAGTCACATGCTCTACTGACTGAGCCAGCCAGGTGCCTTCAACTTTTACTTTACTTTTCCAAAACAAATTTAAGAGTGTGCACACGTGGGAATGCATTAAATATATAGATTATATAGATTAATTTAGTGATAATTGGCACCCTTGTGATGTTGGGTCTTCCTGGTCAGGAATATGGTATTGCTTTTCCACTAACGCAGATCTTTCTTTGTGTTTTTAAGTAGAATTTTGAAGTTTTCTTCATATAGATTTTTATATTTTTTTTCTGTGGTAACAAATCACCTCCAAACCTCAGTGGCTTGTGACAGTAAAGGTGTGTTTCTCAGATGTGTTACATGCTGCAGGCCCTGCTTCTGCATCATATAGCCTGTCATTCTAACAACAGGATTGAAGGAGCAGCCCCTGACTGGGACTTGCCTTTTCATGACCAAGTATAGCAGCAAGAAAACGTGTAATGGCTCATAAATCTTTTGCTCAGAATCCATTGGTCAAAGCAAGTCACATGACCAAGTCCAATATCAGTGGGCTGGGGATGCATACACTCATCCCATGAAAGGTCCCACAAATCTCATGGCAGTGGGCAAGGATGTATAGCATGGGGGCAGAGAGGCTTGGGGGTAACTCGAATAACAGAGCAACCTGCCACAATCTTGTTATTAAAATCCAGATAATACAAAACGTATTAATGTAGAAAGAAAAAAGTGTAAGTTCCATCTCACTAGTCCCCTTAGATCCCACTACCTAGAGGCAGTCTCTGTTAACTGTTCGCATGTCCTTCTAGTCCTTTTTCTACGAATGTACAAAGGTACATGTGCATAAATAAATATCTGTCAGTATTTATATACTCACATGCATTTCCTTTTCTAAAAATGGGATGATCCTATCATGATATTGTTCTACATTTTGACCTAAGATATTTGAACATCTTTTTTTTTTTTTTTTTTGGACCCACTCCCAATGAGGGAAGAGCAAACCTCCCTACCTTTGAACATCTTTCATGGCAAGAAACCTATAGTTACTTCATTCTTTCCACAAGTTCTCTTATTTTCCTTTGAGTAGATGAATCATAATTTATTTAGTGCACTTCCTGATGCTGGGCCCTAGCTTGTCCATTTAATTATGGCAAGACATGCCACAGTGGACGTCACTGTGTGGAGACCACGCTCCTTTGTGTGAGCATCACCGTGCAGTCGATGCAGCAAGCTCTAGGCGGATATGAGCTGGTCCATGCTTCTTTACCCACTCTTCTTGGTCACCTCCTTCACATTCACCCCTATCTCAGGTCCAAAAGGGGTGATAAATGACTGGCGCCGCTTCAAACAGTTGGAGACAGAGCAAAGGGAGGAGCAGTGTCAGGAGATGGAAAGGCTGGTCAAGAAGCTGTCAATGACATGCAGGTCCCATCTGGATGAAGAGGAGGACCAACACAGGCAGAAGGACCTCCAGGAGAAGATCAGTGGGAAGGTAATTGGCAGCCCCCGGCTTTTCTTACAAGTGCCCCTGACTGCTGGAATGGGGGTCAGTGATTCAAGAGGTGCAAGGTGTTTGATTTGGCCTCCAAGAAGCTGTGCCATGTGGGGGCAGGGGGTGGGGAGCGGTAGAGAGTTGTGTCATAACTCAGACACACTGGGGTTTGAACCTCAGGCTGCCACTGGCGACTGTGGGGATGTGTCTTCCGTCCTGAGTTCAGTTTGTCACAGGTTTGGTGAGGTCAATATCTCTACTTGACAGTGCTCTCTGAGTACAAAGCCTAGTGCAGGTCCTGGCCCTTTGAAAGCGCTCAGTAAATGTGAGTTTTCTGTCCTTTATTGAAACCTTACTTTGGGTCAAAAATAGTCCTCTGAGGTTGGTGGCATTATCCCTGTTTTACTGATGATGAAATTGATGCTTTGAGATGAGAGGGGACTTGGCTCAAGACATGCAACTAGTAAATGCTGACAGGAAGCAGGATTCTCACCCAGATTTTTTTTTGCTCTTTCCGTGGTGCTGCCCTGTTTCACCTGAAGCCTATTCATGAGAATTAGTGTACAAGGTATCACAGTAGAAGCAAATGAACTCTCTGAAAGATGTTTGGAATTAGGACCCTGACTCTCTTATTTTCCCTGTATCAAAAGGATCATCTATTCCCCCACCTGCCCTCTGAACATGAATGAATTTCTAGGAGCGCCTGAGATCATTTGGTTATGGCCCAAAGTGGCTCTTAGCTGGATATACAAGCCAGGATCAGGCAGCAGATAAGAGGATTAGGTGAGCAGCCATTTGTCTGGAGCAAGAGGAGGATTTTGGGGCATTAGACTGTCTGACCATAATGGTTCAGAAAGAGCCACTCTGGTAGGCTGAGATAGACTGGAGAGTTGGGAGCTCCAGGGAAGGATGGTGCTGGCCATCTGTGATGCATAAATGTCCATCCTGATCTGCTGTTGTCCCCCGGCCTCCACCCTCTAATCTGTGCTGTACAAGGCAGAGGGAAGCTTTGTTCCAGCCATAGTGTCTTGCTGCACCAGGGCAGAAGAAGGAAGATACTTTTTTTTTTTTTAAGATTTTATTTATTTATTCATGAGAGACACAGAGAGAGAATGAGAGAGAGAGAGAGAGAGAGAGAGAGAGAGGCAGGCAGAGACAGGCAGAGGGCTCCATGCAGGGAGCCTGATGTGGGACTTGATCCCAGGTCTCCAGGATCACAACCTGGACTGAAGGCTAAACCGCCGAGCCACCTGGGCTGCCCGGAAGATACTTTTGTAACATAAACTGGCTGCAGGGCAGTGTGCCCACTGCTCACAGGGCCTCCTTATACTGAGATTAGAGCAGATGAAGCCACACATCACATGAGCACACAGGACAGTTGAGAGAAGCTGTCCCTATCCTGTTAGATTGTGTGCCGTAGAATAGTGCTGGAAACCAGCTCAATGCCAGAAACAGGGAAGTGAAGCAAAATAGGGCAAACTGTGTAATCCTAAAAAAAATATTTAGAAACATGAGGAAATATTTAGATGCAATAATGCCGAGTGGCAAAAGCAGTGCAGCCTAACTGGTACACCCACAACTGCTGTTACAAAAGCAAAAATGGGGCAGCCCCGGTGGCGCAGCAGTTAGCGCCGCCTGCGGCCCGGGGTGTGATCCTGGAGACCCGGGGTCGGGTCCCACGTCGGGCTTCCTGCATGGAGCCTGCTTCTCCCTCTGCCTGTGTCTCTGCCTCTCTCTCGCTCTCTCTGAATAAATAAATATTTAAAAAAAAAAAAAAAAAGCAAAAATGATTTCAGCATCTGACTGGTAATAAAAAGCAAAATACAGTTTCAGTTTATGTAATTGTTTTTTTGTGTATGTGTGTATGTGTGGAGGGTGCAGAGCAAGAGTTGTGAGTATTGTTTTTGAAATTCCTTAATATCCTGTTGTCTTTTTTTTTTTTTTTTTTTTTTACCAAAAATGAAACAGTGGATAAAAGAATTAATCCAATGACTATAAGAAACAAACTCATGAAGTGATGTTAACTGTCTTTTTAGATAGAAGGGCATTATAATGCAGTAGTTAGAAGACTGGGTTTTTAGAAAATCTAGTTTGAATTCTGGACTTGTACCTACGTGAAGTGATGCAAATAACCTCAAGTCTTCGAATCTCATTTGTAAAATGGGGGAAATAGAAGTTCCCTCCTGATGGGGTATCATAAGATTTCCATGAGCTTTAATACATACAGAGCACTTAGCATGACACCTCACTTACATATTCATCACAGAGGCGGGTTTGTGTTTTTTTCTGCTCACTTGCTGGTCGTCCTGCAGATGACTCTGAAGGAGTTTGCCGTGATGAATGAGGACCAAGATGACGAAGAGTTTCTCCAAAAGTATAGGAAGCAGAGAATGGAAGAGATGCGGCAGCAGCTTCACAAGGGGCCCCAGTTCAAGAAGGTTTTTGAGATCCCTAGTGGAGAAGGCTTTTTGGACATGATTGATAAAGAACAGAAAAGCACCCTCATCATGGTCCATATTTATGAGGATGGCATTCCGGGGACCGAAGCCATGAATGGCTGCATGATTTGCCTTGCTGCCGAGTACCCAGCTGTCAAATTTTGCCGAGTCAAGAGCTCAGTTATTGGGGCCAGCAGTCGCTTCACCAGGAATGCCCTTCCTGCCCTGCTGATCTACAAAGGTGGTGAATTGATTGGCAATTTTGTTCGTGTCACTGACTAGCTGGGGGAAGATTTCTTCGCTGTGGACCTTGAAGCTTTTCTACAGGAATTTGGATTGCTCCCAGAAAAGGAAGTCTTGGTGCTGACGTCCGTGCGTAACTCTGCCACCTGTCACAGTGAGGATAGCGATTTGGAAATAGATTGAACTGCCAGTCTAATTGCATAGATTTCTCATTGTTTGGGCTGGAAGACACATGTCTGGGTATTTATTTCTGTTCCTTCCTGTGTCATGTGGTTTTTCAGCTGTTCTTTGTAGTCCCTTTTATTATATGTAAAGGAATCAAGAAATTCTTAGATTAAATGGGAATGTTGCATCACCTTGTGGCTAGCAGTAAAGTGACTTAAAATTGTATAAACAGGAAGCCGGGCTTTTGAACTGTTTACTTAAGATTCTCTAGCATGACATCTCTGTTATTGTTTCTAGTCAATATTTACATAACATCCTAAAGACAGTGTCCTGGAAATTGTCTTCAGACCTCAGAGCTCTCTGCCAGGCCTCGGAGTATAATTCTGTAGTTAGTGTGTTATTTGCAACATAAATAGTGTGTCTCCTTCATCAAGATTATAAATTGTATTTACTTGTAATCAGATCCATAGTCCTGGAAGGCAGGACTAAATTTTTAAATTTTTACCTGAGACTGTTCTCCACCAGGGTCTTGTTTAACGGTTCCAGACAACGTATGTTTGTCCCATCAAGAGGGCAGCTTGATGCTGGAGCCAGTGCCCTGCTCAAGCATTATTAAGTCTTGAAGAGGAGGAAAGATTGATGCTGACTGCCCTCTTGATGCTGGAAGGCCAGCTTGATTTAAGAATCAGAGCTGATTTGAAGCTGGGAAGCCTTTTTTAAAGGAGGGTTTCTCAATAAGATACTCCTGCTCATTTCTTTGTCTTTTATTGAACAATGTAACTTTTTGTTTTCATGTAGCTTTTTAAAAATCTTCCTCTCAATCTCTCCCTCCCTCTCTCTCTCTCTCTTTTTGCATATTAGAAAAGTAATATTTAACAGAGGAACATTTGCCAAACTCCAGAAGTGAAAAGAAGAAAGAATAATATCTAATGTTGCCTAGAAGAAAACACTATTAATATTTTGGCATATTTCCCTCCATCGTATTTTCTTTGTAAACGTAGACATTTTGCTTGTTTTTAAACAAAACAATGGGATCATTCTGAACATACTGTTTTATAGTATGGTCAGCTATTATAGATCAAACTTTTCTTCATGTTATTAAATAATCTGCAACACTGTAAAAATGGCCATCGACAGTCCACCATGTAGATAATGCTGAGTTGCTTGGTGGTTATGTCTTAAAAAAAAAACAATGACTTTTTACTACAAAAGTAATAGATGTCCATTGTAGAATATGTAACACAAATTGTTAAGCTAAAAAGAGATTTTAAAAGTCCTATAATTAAAATAATAAATAAATAAAGTCCTGTAATTCCACCAACCAAAAATTATTCGCATTATCATTTTTACAGATATCCTTGTCTTTTCTATTTGTTTTTTTTCTAGTCTTTTCTATTTGTATTCATATTTATAATAATGATTGTCATTTGATATTTTTAGCTTTTTTTTTTTTTTTTTACTTAAAATGGTGTACATTCTAAGGTCAGGGAAAATGTAATGTGGAATTAAAAGATTAACTTTAAAATTCAGTTTTGCTTTTCCTGGTTATTCAGGAGTGGACTAATGTAGAAGGGTCTCAAAAATATCTGTCTTGAAGCTATTTCCTCACCTCTGCAACGGGAACACCTGCTTCACTTCTTCATCAGTAGGAAGAAAGTACATGATTTTTCTGCTTTCAGACGCTCACTGTAGAAAGTGTAGAAGAAGCAGACAACTGTTGTCAATGTTCTTATTTCCCTCTTTTTTTCAGTATTTTTAATAACATTGAGAGCTTACTGGATTTCTATTTTATTTAATATAAATACTTTGACATGTTATAAAAATTCTAAATAAATAATTTTTAATGGCTTCAAATACCCCATCACTTGGATATACCATGATTTATTTAACCAGTTCCTTAATATTGGGTATTTATTTATTGTTTTTTGAAAGAGAGCACACATGTGTGAGTGGTGGGAGAAGTGGGGAGAGAGAGAGAAACTTTTTTTTTTTTTTTGAGAGAGAGAATCTTAAGGCTCCATGCCCAGCACAGAGCCCAAAGTGGGTCTGATCCCATGACCCTGAGATCATGACTTGAACTGAAACCAAGAATTGGATGCCTAACTGACTAAGCTACCCAGGCACCCCAATATTGGGTATTTAGATTCCAGTTTTTCCTTAAAACATTTAACATCTTTGCATTTTGGGCTGTATTTTGGATTGTTCTTTAGTATAGATTTCTAGAAGAAGAATTCTTGAGTAGATAGAAAAGAATATTTGCAAAATAGGGTCTTTTTTTTTTTTTTTTTTAAGATTGGTTTATTTATTTGAGAGAGAGAGACTGCCTGAGCAGGGTAAGTAAGGGTCATAGGGAGAGAGAATCCCAAGCAGACTCCTCACAGACCGTGGAGCCCAAATTGGGGCCTGATAGGACACCAAGATCACAACCCAAGCTGAAACCAAGAGCCAGTCACCTGACTGATCTATCTAGGTGTCCCACAAAATAGTTTTTAGTAAGCATCCGTTCCTGTTGTAAATGAAAATAGTCAGTTGCAGAACCTTAACTTTACCTTTCAAGAACAGAGACTCTAGAATAAAAGGAACATATGGAATGGGGGAAATCCTTGAGCATTCAATCTCTTACTCAGGTATAGTGGAAACAGCATGGACAAGAAAGATGAGCCCTGGGTGTTATACTATATGTTGGCAAATCGAACTCCAATAAAAAAAATACAGGAAGAAAAAAAAAAGATCCAAATTTGAAGCCTGTCACTCACTGGTGTAGCTCCTAGGGAGGTACCTAGGATTTTTTTCTTTTTAAATTTCAGTTTGCCAACGTACAGTATAACACCCAGTGCTCAGGTCCCTAGGCTTCTTGAAGCTGTTTGACCTCTGCAACGGAAACAACACCTGCTTCACCTCTGCTGTGCTGGTGATTCTGAAACTGTGGTCCCACAGCACAGGCATCAGCCTCACTGGGCAACTTGTTTGAAATGCAGATTCTCAGGCGTCACCCTGGACCAACCATCTCAGGAATTCTGGGAGTGGCCCAGTACACTATAAGCCCCCCAGGTGGCTCTGAGGCTGCTCAAGTGTGGGACTCACTGATCTCTGGATTCAGGTGAGTGACAGTGGTGATGACAGAAGCGCTTCCTTATTTGAGTCAGGGAGGGAAGAAGTTAAAACCAAACGCTCAGAGCTCTTCTCTTACTCTTTATATGATTCTCTTTTTTAGCCATGGGACTGAGGAAAGAAACTGCTACTTGTCTCTCCCAAACCATGTCCCTGTAGTATTCCAGATTTCCCTTTCCTCCAGAACAAGAGTCCCTGAAGGCACAGACTATTTTCCTCCCTGCCTGTGGTATAATCACAGTCCCTCCAGGAATAATAGGCTCACATTTACTAGCTTTGTGGGCAAGATGCTGAACCCCTCTGCCTTGCTGTCCTCATCTGTGAAATGGGGATGAGGAGTATAAGTCACTTCATATAAAATATTTAGAACACAGGGATGCCTGGGTGGCTCAGTGGTTGAGCATCTGCCTTTGGCTCAGGTTGTGATCCCAGGATCCTGGGATCAAGTCCTTTAGCAGGCTTCCTGCAGGGAGCCTGCTTCTCCCTCTGCTTATGTCTCTGCCTCTCTCTGTCTCTCATGAATAAGTAAATAAAAATCTTAAAAAAAAAAAAAAAAAAAACAAAATAGGGCAGCCCCGGTAGCCCAGCGGTTTGGCGCTGCCTTTGGCCCAGGGTGTGACCCTGGAGACCTGGGATTGGGTCCTGCATCGGGCTCCCTGCATGGAGCCTGCTTCTCCCTCTGCTTGTGTCTCTGCCTCTCTCTATCATGAATAAATAAATAAATCTTTAAAAAATATATAACGCTTTGGTCCACTGAATACCAGTAGCCTTTCAAGGTAGGAAATAAATAGTAGTTACTATTTATTTCTTCAGACATGAAGAAACCAAGATTTAGTAGGGTGTAAGTGACTACTCCAGCTTGTGGGCAGGGCGGGGTTTAAAATCTGGTCTATGTAGTTCCAAAATTTGCATCATTTCCACAATGTCCTGTCAGTTCTGGGTGGAGAAAGCAAATGATCAAGTGACAACAAAACAGATCAGTTTTAAAAAGAAAAAGTAGGGGCACCTGGGTGGCTCAGTTGGTTAAGCATCCGACTCTTGATTTCGGCTCAGGTCATGATGTCACGGTCGTGAGTTTAAGCCCAGCTTTCAGCTGTGTGCTCAGTGGGGAGTCTGCTTGAGGATTCTCTCTCTCCCTCTGCCTCTCACTACTGCTCTCTCAAATGAGCTCTCTCTCTCAAGGTGCATGAATCTTAAAAATAAAAAAGAGAACATGGAGAGAATAGTTTGGAGGAAGAAAATTAGAGAATTTTTTAAAAATATATTTATTTATTCATGAGACACACACCCACACACAGGCAGAGACACAGGCAGAGGGAGAAGCAGGCTCCACGCAGGGAGCCTGATGTGGGACTCGATCCCCAGATCCAAGGATCATGCTGTGAGCCAGAGGCAGATGCTCAATCGCTGAGCCACCCTGGTGCCCCTAGGGAGAGAATTTAAAGAGAAAAAGGAGTTAAGCTTGGTGGAGCCCGGGTTCCCTGGTCCAGCCTGTGTTTCTCATCAGAACCTCCACCCATCTGGGCTGTGGCTGGGACTTACCAGGAGCCCCTGCTGAGGGGTCCTCCCCTTCCTGCCAGGACTCCACAGAGTCCTTCCCCCCCAAAGTCTGTCTGGTGTGTCCCCCCAGAACCATACTGCCAATCCATGTCCACTGCAGGTGGCAGTGATCCAGGGAACCGTGGACGTGAACTCTAGCTCTCTTAGCACCGCTGTGTTCCCTTAGACAAACTTCTTCCTCTCCCCAGGCCTTAGTTCACCATTTGTAAAATAAGAGGTAAATTATATGCTCCTTTAAGACCTGTTGGGCTCTCAACTTTTATGAATTAATGCATTTTTTAAAATCACCTTTTAGGGGTCCCTGGGTGGCGCAGCGGTTTGGCGCCTGCCTTTGGCCCAGGGCGCGATCCTGGAGGCCCGGGATCGAGTCCCACGTCGGGCTTCCGGTGCATAAAATAATATTTTGTTTGCTTTGTTATATCGCTTTTCCAGAAATGCTGCATATTTTTTGGTTAGAGGTGTACTACCTATGTTCCCTGAGAACCAGATTACAAATTGAAATTAAACCCTCAGCGCTGTAGAAGAGGAAATGCCAGTTGTAACTTGGAGTTTGGCCACATGGTGCCAGCAGAGGAGAGGGAAAGAATGGTTTTCCTGCTGCTAAACCCAGCCGACAAACTTTGGGTTTAGGGGCTGAAGGTGATATCTACCACCATGTACTAGTCATTTTAGAGACCTTGCTTTTAGAAAAGAGAACCAGAAAATAGTACCTGCGCACCCTTTATTAATGAGTAACAGAGCAAACAAAATATTATTTGACAAGTACAATGTGTATACTCTTGAACTTCAAATTATGGTCAAAGCTTAGAGATAAACTGGCCCAAGAAGAGAAGAGGAAGGCAGGGGCACCCACAAGTCCCAAATTGAGAGTCCCAAGCTCCCTAGTTCAGAGCACAGGATTTGTGTTCAAATCGTAATCCTATCATTTATCCCCAATGATTTTTTTGTTCCTAACCTGTGATGGTGCACGTGACAAACATATATTGAGACTTACTAGGTGCCAGGTCTAAGCACTTTATTTTTTATTTTTTTATTTTAATTTCATTTTTTTAAGTAAACTCTACTGCCAACATGGGGCTTGAACTCATGATCCACAGTCACATGCTACACTGACTGAGCCAGCCAGGCACCCCTAATTCTAAGCACTTTTTTTTTATATAAATTAATTTTTATTGGTGTTCAATTTACCAACATACAGAATAACACCCAGTGCTCATCCCGTCAAGTGTACCCCTCAGTGCCCATCACCCATTCACCCCCACCCCCCACCCTCCTCCCCCTCCACCACCCCTAGTTCATTTCCCAGAGTTAGAAGTCTTTATGTTCTGTCTCCCTTTCTGATATTTCTCACACATTTCTTCTCCCTTCCCTTATATTCCCTTTCACTATTATTCATATTCCCCAAATGAATGAGAACATACACTGTTTGTCCTTCTCCAGTTACTGTGGCCAAGTTCAAAAAGGGTGTTGCCTGAGTTCTCCTCTAGGATTTTGATGGAGTCTTGTCTCACATTTAAATCTTTCATCCATTTTGAGTTTATCTTTGTGTATGGTGCAAGAGAGTGGTCTAGTTTCATTCTTCTGCATGTGGATGACCAATTTTCCCAGCACCATTTATTGAAGAGACTGTCTTTCTTCCAGTGGATCGTCTTTCCTCCTTTATTGTATATTAGTTGAGCATAAAGTTCAGGGTCCACTTCTGGGTTCTCTGTTCTGTTCCATTGATCTATATGTCTGTTTTTGTGCCAGTACCACACTGTCTTGATGAACACAGCTTTGTAGTACAACCTGAAATCTGGCATTGTGATGCCCCCAGATATGGTTTTCTTTTTTAAAATTCCCCTGGCTGTTCGGGGTCTTTTCTGATTCCACACAAATCTTAAAATAATTTGTTCTAAGTCTCTGAAGAAAGTCCATGGTATTTTGATAGGGATTGCATTATACGTGTAAATTGCCCTGGGTAACATTGACATTTTCACAATATTAATTCTGCCAATCCATGAGCATGGAATATTTTTCCATCTCTTTGTGTCTTCCTCAATTTCTTTCAGAAGTGTTCTGTAGTTTTTAGGGTATATTTTGAGAACCATTTGACTTTATATGTATTTTCTTGGATAATTCTCATAACAACCCCAGAGAGATATTATTATCCTCTTTTATAGTTAAACAGTTTGCCTG